CTTCTTCCACTGCCTGTTCTGCACATTTATTTTCTAAATAGCTTGTTAGGCTTGAGGGCATCGATAAAACGGCTCGGCCTGGTCTGTCAGCAGAAGGAAAAGCTACGAGAGCCCAGCTGGGGTGGCAATGTTTGAGTAAAGGCAACTGCTCCGTTCGTGGCAGCCTCCTGCCCCAGCACAGCCCACACACGTGGAAACGGGTCCAAATGAAGCAGCTGCCACATCCTTCCTCCAAGGGGAACTGGAGCAACGGCTCCGAACGCTATCTCATCCAGAGGGAAGGAGAACAGGGAAGGTCTATGCAAACAGGGATCGAAAACGAACATGTCATCAATGAAATACACGGGAAGTTCCCGGCTAGAGCACGGTTAAGCCCTTTTTATGGGGCAGAAACCAGCCCCAGGTGTTGGAAAGAATCTTCTCTCATAAAGCAGCGTGTCCCTGCCGGCTGGTGACCCCTCTGCACTGCAGACAAGCCCCCCCGGCTCCGTCGCCCAGTCTGCAGCAGCGATTCCTGCCCAGTGAACACCCTGGGACGTCTTCGTGGAGCGCAGTCAGGACACATCCCCACCAGCACAAAGACAGAGCAGAGCCCTCGTCCCAACCACCAGCAAACCAGGCATGAAGCCTCCCGCACTCTCTGCTCCGAAGACGGCAACTCCAAATTAAGCTGGTTGGCCCGAAGCCTTAATCCCTCGGCAAAAGGTTTCCCTGCAATGAAAGGTAAATAAAACCTGGGCTGAAAACAACATCCCCTATTGAGAGCAGCCCAGTGGCGGAGGGGGAAGAAAGCAGATGCCGGGGAGCACACAGCTGTGCTGCGGTGGCACTCAGCCTTGCATCATCTGTGCCAGACGACGTGGTTACGGCTCACAAAGGAGCATGAAAACGCGTTCCCGCCACCCTTCTGGTGCCAGGAGATGAGTTCTCCCACGGCGCCTGCCCGAGGAAAGTGGGTCAGCAGCGGCACCCCACTCACCCGTGGGGCCCAGGACCGAGGAGGGGACGCGAGGCGCAGTCGCCGCTCCCGCACGGCCGCGGGGTTATCCCCGATCGCGGAGGAAGAGAGCCTGGATCTGCGGCGTTTCAAACTGCGCAGCTCCCGGGATCACGAGTCTTGGAGCTGACGGCTCCATTTACATACGCTCGGAGCCCAAAATAAACCAGGCGTTGGCAGCTCTGTTTGCGGCCGGGTGCGGGGGGGTTACTAGGAACACACGGGTAAGAAAACGGGAGGAAAGAGAGAATTC